CCCCAAAACCCCAAAACCCCAAAACCCCAAAACCCCGTGGCTTATTATTATTTGAAAACAAACTAAATAATTAAGATGGAGCTTGATTCTTATCTTGTTTTGGCAATCTGAGTCCTTCTCTGAAGTATTTTGCATCTAACCAATGGGGTGTACCGAGAAGGATGAAACCAAGGATATTTCCAGCAGAATGGCCTCTGAATGCCATGCCATAGTTCATGCAAACAATGAGTAGACGCTAGTGCATGAACCTCATGAGAGTCTTTTATGTATAAGACAGAAGGATTTAGGTATTTTATCTTTTACTTTATAATAGATTTGAATCTTCATATAAATGAAGATAGAGATTTAGTCAATTTTAGTTTAGATTTGATTACAATAAGCCTGGTTAGATTTTAGCTTGCTATAATTTTTACACTACCTAAATAGCACAACAAACTTATGAGAAACTTGCCAACCAGGCCAATATTATGATGAAGTTGCAGCTCTTTGAAGACCTTGCAATGGATCTTGTCTTGGACAGTGAATGGCTCAGATGGAATGATTCCAATGAAATGAAGATCAGATTTTCCACCTTGAAAAATTAAAATGAATGGATCATTGAGACTCTGGAACTATACAAATTGAGTCTTCCCAACATACATTAAGTTCTTTCTGAAGAACTCTGGAGTATTATATCGACCCTGATAGCGAAGAACCAATAGAACTTGGGACCAGAAGATACCCGTATCGCTCGATGTCTGTTGTCAACTCAGAAATTATAAATAACTTCAGCCACAAGAGTTACGATGTCACAATATATACAAAAAGCATCAACATCGAGTTAGAAGGGCAGAGATATTTTAATATGTCATCTGTCACTATTAAAAATCATCCTGATTTGGCTGAACGAATGAAGAAGGCTGTTTTGACACCTTCTCCATATGGACACTATGAAAAATCACCCAAAGCAGTGTTTCATATTTTATCTCACTCAACTAGCGATATCCTTACTGCAATGTTTGGAGGAAGTTTCACTATGATAGAGCTTGGAATCATGCAGACCCCTAATGTTGCCATGATGCCTCTACGTACAACTCTGAGGCTTGACAGCATTGATCTCTATAGTGAGGATGATGACCCAGATGGATCAAAGATTTTCATAATTCCCATATTTTTACAGCAAAAAGTTTTAGAAATTAGTAAGTAATGGGCAACTAGATTAAGAAGACTCATAGAAATTCCAAAAGTGTACAAAATTTTTGTCATTTGTTTTGATAAACGATTTGATATTTTAGAGACAAACTTTACATTCAAAAATAGATTCCTCTACCATTTTACCTATGTCACAAGTTGGAGATTTTTATTAAAAATGTTAGTCATTGAGAAATCAAATAATCAACTTTTTATAGCAAATGTGGGTATGAACATAACTGGTAATTTTATATACACACTCCATCCTTCAGAACTGAGATTAGAGAACATCACAGTTGATTTTGGCAAATTTGGATTCTTTTATGTCAGTCAGGATATATACTGAAATTACCCGGAGGCTCATCTAACACCTACTATGGTTTTTAAGAATATTACGACTATAAATTTTAATCCTGACTCATCGAGGAACATTCAGCCTGTATTTAGGATCTCTGATATCGGAAATATCACTGGATCCTATATTGATTGCAGAGGGTGGTATACTCAGCTATTAGATCCAACACCTTGATTATCATACGTAATTTCTACAACATGACTCCCTGACGATGGTCAAGTTCAAATAATATCTTTTGACAACATCCAGGTAGGACTGACAGAGAAAGAAGGAACTGATAGAATGGTTTTAAATGCATTCTTGACAGTTGATCAACATTATAGAACTATTGACATGAGAGTTGAAAAATTTCATGCCGAAGGAGTACATATAAGTAGTGATTTTGGAGTTTTTGGAGCGATTGGAAATTTTATGGATGTCATTACCTATACTGATATTAGCATCGATAACTGAACTAACAACCTCCTTTATCTTCTCAGTGCATCTTACTATCAAAATGTTACCGTGAACAATTTATTATGGGAAAACATTCCTAATACTGGAGAGACTCCTTTCGGTCTTAATAATAATGGAAATATCGTAATCAAAAATTTTAAAATGATTAATTCTGAGACAACTGCTTATCTCAGTACTGGAGCTATTCTCTTTTTCGCTTCCCTTGGAGATCTCCTTGGCCCTACATTCATAAGTTTTGATGGTATTCATTTAGAAAATTGAGTGTTTCACAAAGACTCTCTATTTTACAATATTGGCACTCAAAGCATGCTGACAATCAAAAATGGATACTACAAGAATGTCACTGTAGGGGTTAGATCTCATTTTAATGAATACTTCAATATAAAATCTACCGAAATCAGCAATCACACCATTGAAGATGTATTCTCTGTAGATACAAGTGGTTCATCTTCTAATTTCTTAAAAAATCATGCCTTTGACATTCAAAATCCAAACCAGGCAGAAATAAATCAAGTTTTGTTGAAGAATTCAACTATCTCTCTACTAAGTATTTCTGATGTTATTGGAACTCCTACTGATCAAAGATCATTAATCATTTCTAACATAGTTATTACAAACGGTAACTTTGAAAGAGATGCCTCTCTGTTCTCTCTTGAGGGATTCAGTTCATTAGCCAATCTAACCATTCAGATTAAAGACTCAATCTTTAGTGAGCTTGAGTTTAATTCCAGAGGATCTATTCTAAGTCTCCAACAACAGTTGGTAAATAGTGTTGAAATCAAGAACACTACTTTTGATAGGATTACTAATGGCAATATCAACGTAAGAACATTTAATCTCGAAATGGAATCATTAAAAACAATGGTTTCAATGTCTGATTGAGCATTTTCTAATATCATCTCTCTATCTCAACCATTTATAAGTGTTTCAAGAAAGGCTGAATTAACTATTGCTGGTAGCACATTTACTTCCTTAGCAAGTCTCAGTGAGACAGCAGGGGTGATACAATCTAGCACTAGCTCTATTGTATCTATCAGCGACTCTGTATTTTACAATAATTCTGCCAAAATAGCATCGGTGTTCAAAATAGAACTAGATTCCAAAATAAGATGAACAAACTGAACAATTCAGAGCAACTTTGCAATCACATATGGAGTTGTTGAAGCAACTAATAATGGAGTCTTTGAGTTCTTTCAAAGTGTGATTTCAGACAATTATGCAATGAAGCATCCTATTGGACAAGTTCTCTCAGCAAGTGCCTCCTCAATCATTGACAGTACCAAAATTAGTAACAACTTAATGCTGGATAATCAGCAAATGGTTCAAGAAACAACAGCTTGAGATAAATTATGCTTTGTTCATAGCAAATTAGTGGAGAATTTACAAGCAATCAACTTTGATCAGTTTGAATACTCAAAATCATCCTTGCTGTTGCTCTTTGGAGGGTTGGAAATTCGAAATAACACTAGAATACAGAGCCAGCCATTATTGATCGATTCATACTCATCAGATTTGAAGTTCTCTGATTCATCTATCTCCTCAATTGTACTGGCTGAATCAATCATCATATCTGTTTCAACTACTCTCAATTTCGCAAACATGACAATATCGGAGATCTCAAATCCTTCAAACATTGATATGATTTTCATTGATTTTGAAAGCTCATTTTCAGCATCAGACATCACGCTGGCAAACTCAGACTCATCTTTGTTCACAGTGTTCTCTTCTAGCGTCTCTTTGCAAGACCTAAATTTCATAAATGTAACTGATTCCAACGAGTTTGTCAAACTTAAGCAGTGAACTAGTATTGCGATCAGTAATATCAGCCTGACGAACTCAACACCAGCTGTTGATAGTTACGTGAGTATTGACAATTCTAATGACATTACACTTCGGAACTTTGCCTTAAATAATATTGAGAAAGTGATCCTGAGAATCAGGAACTCAAATGTAATCACAATTGAAGACATAAGTGTGTCAAATTCACTACACCCACTTGAGATCTTATATTCTAGAGTGGATATCATAAGAAACTCCAAATTTACCCAGAATGGAAATCAAATGAAAACCAAAGGAGGAGTCTTGTACTTACTAGACACACAGTTAAGCATTGAGAGCTGTATTTTTGAGTCCAACACTGCTCTAAAAGGAGGAGCCATAGCTTTTGAATGAACTTCAAGTCACAATTGTAAACTTGGAATGGCAAATAGCATTTTTATTAATAACACTGGAGTGGCTGAAGGAGGAGCTATATCCTATAACTACAGTCCTCCAAGTCAGACAAATGTAACTTTTGAAGGAAACCAAGCTCCATATGGGCCTGATTATGCTAGCTACCCAGTCAGAATCGGAGTTATCAACGGAGCAGCCACTGATGAGATCATTATTGATGATGTTGGGCCAGGAATTGTGCTGGAAGAGCCAATACAGCTTGGGCTATTTGACTACAATGGGCAGATCATGATTCTTGATAGTTCTAGCCAACTCACAATTGATTTCGTTAATAATTCGGTTGGAAGCATTTCAGGGATCAACCATGCAATTATCCAGAAGGGACTAGCAACATTTGAAGACTTTTCTTCAGATGTAGAGCCAGGAGCAAAGGCGGTTTTATTCAAAGTGTCGTCAAATGTTCTGAATGCCAATAAGATCAGAGATGTCTTAAATAAGACTGATATAGCACAAAGGATTGTCATGAACTTCAGATTTTGAAAGCCTGGTGAGCAAATATTAAACCATAAATGCGTTAGATGTGATGCTAATACTTATTCTCTCGATTGGAGCTCAACCAAGTGAGAACAATGAATGGACAGAGCGACTTGACTTGGAGGAGAACAGGTTTCAGTTGATTCTGGATATTGGAGAAGATTCAAAAACTCAACTTCTATACAATACTGTCCATTTAAATCTGCTTGAATGGGAAGCTTTTCAGATAAAGATGTGTCTCCAACATTTTGTAAAGAAGGATATCAAGGCAATCTTTGAACTGAATGAGCTATTAATAAAGAAGAGAAATATGAAAGACACAATGAATTCGAATGAAGGAAGTGTCCGAATCCTATTATGAATGCTATTCGTGTGGCTGGCCTCTCTCTTTTGGTATTCACATTTTTCATGGTTTTAATCGTTGTTAATGTTCGGAAGACTGAAGAAAGTGAATTATCTGTGCTTCTCAGGATCTTAGCCAATTATCTACAACTCATTACAACATCCATGTCTATGAGCATAACTTATCCTGATTCTCTAATATCATTTACAGTTCCAATTAGGGTATTCGGAGGGTCTTCAGAGGCCTTTCTGTCTTTCGATTGATTTGCAACTGACTATGAAATCAAAGGACCTTTCGAGTCAAATGCAGTACTGAAGCTATTTTTGCTCTTCCTCTTACCGATAGCTCTTTTTTGAATTGTTGCATTGATCTGGATATGCTTATATTACATCAGAAAACGGCTTGTTCCAAACCTGACGAGAAACTTAATAATATCTTTCATAAGCATTGTCTTTTTGCTTCACCCTCGTTTGACTCAACAAAGCATAAACATATTTAGATGCCTTAAAACAGACTCTGACAAGTACATGTCTAGGTTTGATCCAAACATTGAATGCTATTCATCAAAGCATCTGAAGTACTGATTTTTTCTTGCCTTACCAATTCTAATAGTTTGGGTGGTAGGGATGCCACTTGCAGCTTTAGTTCTACTGATTAAATCAAGGAGCAAGTCTAAAGACAATAAAGTAAAACAATATTTCATCATAATCTATCAAGGTTTGAAGCCTGAGTGATTTTATTGGGAGTTTATTAACACCCTAAGGAAGATTCTAGTTCTGTGCTGACTGTTGATGCCTCATAAATTTAAGATTCTACTCGCTGTATTTATTCTTGTCGCTACTGGAAGACTTCAGCAGTCATTAAAGCCATACAAAAATACACAGAATAACAATCTGGAATATATGGCAATTATTGCAGGAGTGTTCACAATCTTGTCAAGTTTCGTATTTTTAGAAAGTGATAGTATACAATTTCTGAACTTTTTAGTAATAATCACTCTATTTCTTCTCAATGCTTTATTCTTGAGCAACTACTTGTTCTTGTTATGTCAGATATATCAAGATAAGTACCAAATAGCTAGATTTGTAAGAGCACAGCTAACTTTTAGGTGACTAAAATTATTGATCTACTATACTGTAAGAGACTAAGCAAAGATTCAGCTAGTAAAGATTGAGGAAAGCTTTTAAAGAACAATGGTATTTATTTTTAACATTTATAGACTCTCCATCACGAAAATCAGAACTCTCTGGATATAGGATGCCACCAAAGAAGATAATAAAGCGTAGAAGACCAAAAAAGAAATTCAAAAAGATGAAAAACCGACCTAAGAAATACACAAAGAAGTAAAAATTTAATTTCTAACCCTTTCAGCCCCACTTCTGTTCACAAAAACAGTACCTACAGACGTACAAGGAGGGTAGGCTACTTCTCTAACCTCTAGGACCTCTTAGCCATGACTTCCACTCAACGTAAAGACCACGGATCCTCGATCTACATTCCTCAAAGACCAAAATCTCCTTCGCAGCCAGATCAATTTCAAAACTTTGTCAAAGTTATCAGTCCCACTAAAGGCTTCTTATAGGAGGCTTTCAAATCTGATTAATCTTTATGAATACTTAAGGGTTATTCATTTATTCATTATTTATATCGAATGCTGGGGTTTTGGGGTTTTGGGGTTTTGGGGTTTTGGGG